GAGCCTCACTTTCTGTGTTTCTCCTCTTTGTCACTGCTTTTGGCGCTGTTGTCCGTGTGGCTGTTGGGGTTGTTGCTGAGGTACATTTTGTCCATGGCCTTGAGGGCCTCGGTGAGATAGTTCTGCAGGGCCGTGACCGCGGCGCACACCGCCGGGCTGCCGAAGCCGTGGGAGATGAGGTTGAAGTGGGTCAAGCAGCTCTGGATGCCGGGCTCCAGGATGGGGTTGGGCCGCGAGTTCCCCAGAGGAGATCGGTCCTGAGCCAGCAGGTCGGTGAACTCTTTGCAGATCTGTCTGCAGCACAAGTGAAGCAGAGAGAGAGGGAGACATGAAACTCCTCTGGGCAGCACCAGCAGCCAAGATGACCTTTCTCCCTACGCTTAGCTCCGCCAGGATCCAGCAGACACCGGCCTGACCCAAGACCCCAGCCCTAGAGACAGACCTGCAGGGGCCACATGCTGGAAGACCCAGCAGTGTCCGCTAACACAGCGCTGCTCCTTCTTTAAATATTTCACTCATGTGTTCAGTCTCTGCCTCTGTCTCTCCCCGCTTCCTCCCCCGGCCGCCTCCCAGCTATACCAAACTTCTAACCCCTCCTCTCTTGCTCACACCAAACATCCTAGTCACTGGAAAACATTTCACACATGAGAAGAGAACAAAGGACAGTAAGAGGGACAAGGAGTCAAACACAAGTCTCTCTTCAATAGCCAACAGCATGCGGCCATCAGCTGTCCTGTTGAAAATATTACAGAGACCCTCTTCTCTGATCTTCTAGCGAGACCTCAGCAGCAGTTTGTGGGATGAAGTCGCCACTCATTCACCTTCTAATCAGTTGCATGTGAACAGAAAGGCAAAACTTTTCTTGGGATTATTCTGCTTTAAAAAAAAAAAAAAAAAAGGCATGCAAACCCCATGACTTGGGGATATGCAGCGTGGTTTGGAGAAGAAGAAAGGGTCATTTCAGTTTCCCATTCCATGTCTTTCCCCACACATCAAAATAAAATAAAACTCTCTAGGGAAATTGTGCACATGGGCATGCTTCGAACCTAAGGAAAGAGGAAAAGTTGAAATACAGGAAGATGAGGCCTGCACACTGGAAGCCCTGTCTCTGAATGTGGGAAACAAGGATGAGCTGGGCCATGGGGAGGGAGGGCGGGTGGGGGTAGGGAGAAGGGAGAAGGGGGAGCGCTAGCAGGCTGCCTTCCCCAAGACTGAGGATGTCCCCAGGCCACTGTGCTGCCTGAGGCCACAGCCTCCGCCCTCTGGTTCCATGCCTTCCTGTGACGTGGACTTTGATAATGAAAGGCTTCCAAACAAGCCTTTTACTGTCCAGAAAACATATCAAGACAGTCATTTTCTTTTCACATACCACCTGGAGAAGCCTATTCAACCCAAGCACCCATGGGGATATAACTAGGGGCCATTTTGAAACCTACTTGATATCTTGCCTGTGGGCTAAAACTTGTGGTGTGTGTCACTTTCCAGGAGAAAGGAAGCCAGAAATGGGATAGGGGATTAGGGTTGAAACTAGGACAACTTCTGGTTTGCACATTTTGCAGGCCACTACTTAATCCTTGCCTTTGGATTAACAACTAAGAGTTTGCATTGATAGAAGACAAAAACTGACTTGGGCAAGAAAAAGAAACCGATATAGACAAGCCTGTTTACTCCTTTGAGGACTTGATTCTGGTCTTTCTGGAACAACATAGTCACAAACCCACACTCAACTTCTATCAAATCCCAACAATCCCCCACCCCCACACACACATTAATTGTTTGTGATGGGAAGGTGAGGCAGAAGAGATGGAAATACACAGAACAATTCTACTTGTATCTCCCTTAAAATAGATTATGATTTATCAGATTGTGTTTATCAATATTTACAACAAAGCTGACTAACACAAAAGGAAAAGAGAAAAGTGAGAGCAAATTTGATTTTTGTTTCTCTTCACAATGAAACCCTGAAGAGGTAAGCGCCTTACTTTGTAGCCAGGAGCATGTTTTTTCTTGTCACTTGCTCATTGGGATCGGAATGTTGTCGGTTGAGAAATTCAGCTACTGCTTTGGCAGGAAATTCGGTTTCACACACGTACCCAAAGTCCCTGGCTAGGTGGACGGCTTCTCCTGGCAAGAGGTGAGAGGAGGGAGGCGAGTGCAAGAGAATGTAGAGTTGGGATCAAAACTTCCTCCCAACTCCCTTATTTTCTTAAACCAGATGTTGAAGGAAACACAAAATACTTGTTTTCTCATTTCAGGCATTTTATTTCCTTCTCGGTAGATTCTGGTGGATGTAGTTATCAGGAAAAATGGCCACTTACCCTAGAAGGCCAAGATGATTTGAAAATGTAAATCTCATCCACTACCCCCATTCTCATCCCCACCCTGATAACATTTTCCCAACTTCTCTTTTAAAATGTTTCTTGTATTCCAACCTCACACCTATCAACGCATTCATAAATGGTATGCATAATTACTCCTTGAGCTTTTCTGCAAGGTAACAACTAAGGGTTTACATTTTAACTTGATCGCATATAATTATCTGTTCATCCAAGCCGATTAACCAAGAGGATTTGAGGGTCACTCCACTGAGTCTGTCTGTGTTGTTGATTTTCGAATCTTTGGTTTTAATTTCCTGAACCAGTTGGTTTTTACTGCAGGGCTTCCTGCCATTAGCTCCAGCTCCGGAAGAACGCATGCGCCAATTAGAGCATCAAAGCCCGCTCCGCAGAGCTTGTTTCCATAAAATGGAGCGGATCACAAACAATAACAGTTCTCCAGAAACTGCCTCCCTGCTACAGGGCTCAACCCCAAAACCCACACATACTCTCACACTACACCCGAACTCATAACTACTTTTTTTTTTTTTTTTTGCATATAGGTCTCTCAGAGTATGGATAGAGCATTTTCTATGTATTGGTATTATTTTGAATATAATGAATATAATGCTACTGTAGATAGTTTCTGGCACTGAACAAATGCTTATTATTTAACAGTTATATTATTGTCATCTTTGACACCATTATCAAATGGTCCATAAGGTTCCTCCTCAAATTTACCGTTTTAAACATTTTTAGTGATTTAGGAAGCTAGAAGTTGAATTCAACTGTATTACACCTCCTCAAATAGAAAATGTAAATAAGATAAAATGCCTTCTGTAAATATAAATGGCAGTTTTGAAATCTGCCTGATAATTTAAGTGCCTTTTTCCCTATAGCCATAAGGCATTTCACAAAGGAAAATGCAAGAGAGCTATATATTTATTCCAACACACTCAACTTAAGCCAATTTAGTATCAGAAAAACTTAACAGGAATCTAGAGGAAGCAGGAATCTGAGAAGATCCTGGTGATGATGCATCTAGAGCAGGGAGTGAGGACAGGGCTGGCTCTTGTTTTTGAGGGGTTTGGAAGCATGCATGTGTGTGTTGTGTGTGTGTGTGTGTGTGTGCATGCATGCGTACGTGTGTGTTTAAAACTGCCAGGAGAAACTTTTTGCAATGCTCATCTTTCTTTTTATATCCAAACAATTCAAAGTCTAAAATCACTCACTTTTCTTCCCCTCCAAGTAAAGAAGCACAATTAAAGGAGAGATAAGGGAGCATATGTTTGGAAAACAAAAACTGAAAGGGTATATAACCCTGAGCTTTCAGGATGGTCTTAAATCAGGATGCAGGTCAAAGATTCCCAAATTAATTCAGGAAGTAATGGTCACGCATTTCTCAAATGCAGATGTCAGAATACCTTAAGTGATTTACTGCTGAGCTCTGTAAGGGAGACAGGAACTTGGAGAATATGCAGTTCTTACATTTTCACATTGTTTAGGTCAGAATTGGGCTAGGGAGGAGTAATTTTGTGGCAGAGGGGAAGAGGAAAGAAGGGTAGGAATAAATGCAAATAGTTTTTTGACATGCAAGAATTTCATTCACTTCCTGCTTCGTTCTCTGGAAAAAAAAATGAAACTGCCCAATTGACACAAAATACAACCAAATATCTGGCCACTAAGTACTACCCATTTCCCCAGAAGAAACTTCCCTCTTGTTAGCAAGTAGACTCGCTTACCCTCCACTAGTGATGTGAGCAGGGTGACATTGGCAGCTTTGCGTCTCCCTGCTGGCAGATTTAATCCTATTTTGTCCAGCTTTTCTCTTAAAGATCTTCCTCCATTTTTAGACTTCGCCCTGTTTTGAAAATATAGAAAAGGGATTTAGAAAACATTGGGTTGCTCTGCATCATATTATAGTAATTTTGACAGCTTCCTAAAATTAAGAATCACAGCCCCGAGATATTTAAGGGAGGGAAATCTAGGGAGAAATGGTACAGAAACATCATAGGAGACAAATGCTTGTTAAATTGTAAAGCATCGTCTGTCTTCAGTTATTATTGCAATTATTGTGGCAGGTTGGAAGGTTTTGAGTTCCCAACTCTCTAAAGAACCACAAACAAAAACAGCTCTCACCTCTAGGGTGTAAGGTACTTTTTAGTTCAACTGGTCACTGTATATTTTCCCTGTTGTTACAATCACATACATCCCAGTGGGGTCTTTAAATTGTCTTTGTAAGATCTGCTGTTAGGTTGTTCAGAGTAACCAAAGTTATCATCACTCTCACGTTTCTTGCTCTGGCTTTAGCCCCAACGGGGAATTCATTTCACCAACTGTTTACATGCCATGTCACCAGCCTAACTGGAAATGTCAAAAGCTGCTATCGGCCTTTAAAAATTTCACTGATTTTGAGACAATGGAGGCAGTTCTAAATAGATGTCTAAATAGACTTCCATAATCAGAAAGTGGTTAAGATAAATTGTTTAAATAAAACAGCAAATTAATTAATTTCAGATTTTATTCCCTACTCAAGTGCTCTTTAATTGTGTGGATTAGATTATACTCCCCTAGGTAAACAGTCTCCAATATTGGGGGTGGGGGAAGGGGAGGAAAAGGCAGAGGGCGGACTCAGATCTGTGACAGTGAGAGATTACAAAGGGACAGCCAAGTGACTGTGAAGGAGGAAGAAAAGATTAAAATAGCTGATGTTAAAACCTTCCAAGAATGGTTTGATAGGCTTTGTATGGGATATACCTATCAGAGCAGAACCAAAAGTCTTACAGGTAGGTAAATGAATATCAAAAGGATAAAGTTTTGGTCTACTTTCTTATTTTAAAAAGGGGGGGGGGGAATTAAGTATTTGTCTGACCCTCGGTTGGGTGGAACCCTAGGAGGAAGAAGCCCACAGGAGGGAGAAACCTGCCCCGAGGGAAGATGCTCCACCTCGCTGCCGCTTATAAAATCTTATCTACGAAATGAATCATTCCGACCTCGCGGGGGTGAGGCCACGTATGTAACATGTATTCGTCGGCAGTGACTGCACCTAATGCATTTAAACGTGGCTTGCATGCTGCCTGGCACACATCGGGGCCGCCAGACATCGCGACCATAAATGCAAGTGCCTTGGGCACGGGGAGTCACCTTCTGTCCGAGGTGGTAATGACCGGCGGGCATGGCGAGCTGACTCAAGAGAAAGCAACTGTCTTCCACTTAAAACTCTATTCTAGGAACGACGGGTTACCCGTCGGAGACCCTACACGGAGGTAAAGAAAAGCCAGGCGCCCGAGAGGAAGTTTTCCGGGGCCAGCAAGGTGTGTGCAAGGAGGTAAAAGGCAGCTGCACGGCGCCCCGCGGCTGCCGCAGCCGGGACTGAGCTCACGGCGGAGCGAGCTG